CCAGGCCCTGTGGGCGCTGCTCTTCTGCCTGGTGCTGGCCAGCTGCCAGTACTCCCTGCTCAAGGCAAGACCCCGTCCCCACGTAGCGCGTGCCCGCTCGCGTGGTCCCAGACCTGCGTGATGACTGACACTTCTGCTTTGCGTTCCAGAGTGTTCAGCCGGACCCCGCCTCCCCGATCCACGTAAGTTCTGAAACGTGGGCCGGGGCGTGTCTTGTCTGCCCGTGTCGAAGACAGGGAAAGGCCAGGGTCTGTGCAGAAGGCAGGACCTGCACCTGGCCTTCATCTGAGTACAGAATCAAACCGGGAAATAGAGACAGGCGGCCAGGTCTGAGCACGCGGCGCTGGCGTGGGTGGGGCGCGGGGGCAGACAGCGTGTGGAGGGGCTGGATGTACCTGGAAGGACTGGGAGGCCCGCTGGGGAGACCCCAGGCCCTGAGAGAGGTGGCCGCCTTGGCTTTCTGATCCCTCGGCTTGAAAGTTTGTGCTGAGGAAGATCCTGGGCCTCCCCATGCCTTGGTTTCCCTTGTCAAATGCCGTGGGGGCGAGCTGGCCCGTGTAGGTGGTCAGACCGTGTTGCCAGCGTTGCATTGCCGTCCCGTCAGCTCTAGGAGCTGTTGTTTTATTTATCGTTCACGTTTGTAGGGGACAGTGTGAGCTTTTCATATGCGTCTCCATTGTGGGATAAGTCAAGCTAATTAGCGTGCCTGTGGCCTCATACACTTGCTATTTCCATCTGGTGAGAACCTTCACAGTCCACCTTCCCAGCAGTTTTCAAGGGCACAACGCATGATTACCGTCTGTAGAAACCGTGAGTGGAGCGCTCCAGAGCTCACCCATGCTGAGTGACAGGCTCTGTGCCCTTTGACCCAGACCTCCACTCACCCACCCCCAGCTCCTGGTCACCACAGGCTGCTCCCGCTGCAGTGAGCACGTCTTGATGAGGTCGTGCTGTGCTTTCACGCCTGTGTCTGCTTATTTCATTTAACATGACGTCTTTGAGACTCGTCAGTGTTGCAAATACAGGATTTCACTCCCGTTTTAGGCTGAACAGTGCTCCACTGTGCATATTTGCCACCGTTTTTAATCCGTTGATCATTGAGGAACGCATAGGTTGAGTTCCTGGGCATGTACGCTAGCTAGAGAGACAGAGAGAGATGGAAATCAAGAAATCATCCCCCCACACCCACCCCCAGGGGGATGGCCACGCCGCAATCCCTTCTCCTCCATTCTCTTCTTGGGATTTTGGGCATGCACACTCACATGCTCGGTGTGTTTAAGCCTCTGCGTTCGGGACTCAAACCACAGCCATCTATGTGGGAGTCGAGTCATGTAGCCGTATGTCATCTGCTGGTCCCTAGGTTGAGTTCTCTCCTGGCTGTTGTGACTAGTGGTGCAGTCACTAGTCATGCGGACTCCGTCTCGGTTGGCTGTATGCTAGGAGGGTGTCCTGGGTCACATGGTAATGCCATTCTTCATTTCTTGAGAACCCTCCACAGTGGCCATGCTCACTCACACTCCCAGCAGCAGTGCGCCAGGAACCCTGTTCCCCTCTCTCCGCACTTGTCCCCGTCTGTTCTGGCAGGTGGGCGGGGGCGTCTCTGTGGCTTCAGTATCCATTGTCCCCAGTCATTGTTCCTACAGGGAGCTGGTCCTTTCCTTGAACCACGCGTTCACACGAGCTGCTGCCTTATCCTCAAGACTTCAGTCCAACTCACGGCTGGGGCTCTGCAACCCGCGGTTTCCTGCGACTGCACTGCCCCGTCCTTGTGCATGGCAGCCTGGGCCCACAGCGACCCGTCCCTGCCCCTGCAGGCGCCCAGTCTCCTGCCCATGCTGGCACCGGGTCCCCATAGGCGGCTCCTGGCTCTCTGAGTGGCTGTCTTCCCTTAGTTGTGGCAGGTCCCTGTGAGTCCCTGAGCCACCCTCCGATGAAGGGAAGCTTGGTCTCCCTCCATTGGGCTTTGTAAACATCGATACCCAGATGTGGGCAGGTACTGATGCTCCTGTTTAACTCGTATCATTAAGAGAAGCTCGTGATTGGGCGGTCACAGGGCACACGTCGCTGTCTGGTTAAATTCCTCTGTCCCTGTAATTGGTTTATATACTACATCTTCTTTTATCCCGGAGTCGGAATGTCAAGAGAAGTCGAAGCGCGTAATTAGGGCATTCGGTGTGTTGTGATTATCGGCAGAAATCTGGGCTGAGTGCAATGAGGCCGGCGTGTAACTCCGAAGTGTTTCACTCCAGTGTACCCCAGACGCTCCACCCTGTCTGCTTGGGCGAGCTCCCTTTCCTCATGCCGCTCCTCCTGTCTCTCTTTGCTGGGTGTCTTCGGGGCAGGGGTGCCGTGCGCTCCATGTGGGGCCGGGAAGGTGCAGGCGTGCCGGTCCAGCCGCTCGGTCCTGGCGGGGGTGCCCTGCCCGCCTGGCGGGTTTGCCATGCCGTTACCGGCACGCCTGGTCCCTGCCGTGTGTAGTCCTTGAGGACGGAGCCAGACCAGCGGAGGGCGGCGTCAACGCCTGCACCAGTAGCCGCACTGCTGCCGTCCACCAAGCAAGCGCGTCGGAGCGGGAGGAGGACGCGCCTCTCCGCGGACTCGGAGCCCAGCGCGCTGTGGCGGCTGAACTTCATTTGCTCATGCAGGTTTTTCAGCCTCTTAGTCCCTGATTTGAGTTGATCCGTCTCCGGGAGTTCCAGCGAAGGAAGGAAAGGTGGCTGTAACGCCATTCCGCTCACAGCGGTGGGGTCAGACCATGTGGGCGTCGGGGGGCAGACTTCTCAGCTTGTTGTGGGTGGGGGAACTCAGCAAGGAGGTGGGCGAGTAGGGGAGCCAAGGTTTGTTTCTTTATTTAGTTTGTGATGTTATTTATTTTTATGAGATAAAGAGATAGAGAGACAGAGACAGCACCCTCAACAGGGTCTGGACGCTGTGAGGCCCTCGGTCCTGGCTAACAGGCATGCATGAGCATGCCGACCCAGCAAGGTCTCTGGACGTGGACCTGAAAGTTCCTCTTGCAGGTGGGCTCTCGGGGTGTTGCATGCCCCACGGTGCCGCAGTCAGGTCCCAAGGTTTAGGGTGCAGAGCTGTCCTCAAGTGCTGCCGTCACTTCATCCATAAGGGACTGTCAGGTGAGGGAAACTCACTGCGCGTGTCTGTGGGGAGACAGCTAGCGAGAGCTCCCGGGGCAATGAGCTTCCCCTTCACTTCCTTCCAGGCACAGCTGGGAAATTCTGAGCAAGCCGTTCAAACCAGAAGATTAAAAATAATAATAATAATAATAATGAAATTATGATGTAACGCTCTGCGTATTTTGGTGTAAGTGCAGAATTTATAACGACATGCTAATAGGTATGATGCCGTAGCTCCTGGCTCTGAGGATCAGTCTGATTCCAGAGAGCTGGGACAGATTTGGGAGTGGGGGTGCTGGAGTGATGCGAGCCCACATCCCGGGCACACGTGTGCTGGCGTGCTCAGGGAATCCGCACGCGAACAGGGAGCCCTCCCACGTGGGCTGCCCGCAGCGTCTCGCTTACCACCACACCTCCACGCTGCTCTGCCTCGACTGCTTTGTCTACACGGCTGACTCCGAAGAGCGTGGATAACTGTCCCGGGTCCAGTCCACTAACTGCTGCTGTGCAGGGAAGGCATCTGAGCCGCTCTGCAGGCTGCATGGACGTCACTGGGAATGCCTTTCCCTAGCGCGCTGTTAGATGGGTTTAGATTTGCAGAGGAATTGGGAAGGAGTCCAGGCAGCCCTCACTCTCCCCACACTGGTACCCCGTGCGAGTCAGCCTCTGTTAGTCCCACGTGCTTCACTGGTCACAGGTGATGGACAGTATCGATGTTGACCCCAGCCCCCATGTGACTCAGATCGCCTCAGATGGCACCTACCATCACTGACCTGTTCGGGGACCCCACCTTGGTACCCCACTACATGGAGCCGTCATGTCTCCTTAGGCTCCTCCTGGTTGTGAAAATTTCTCAGATATTCTGTAGGCTTGAAAAAAAAATGATTCTAATGCTTAAAGAAAGTAGGTCTTGCAGGGCTTGAAAGTACTGGGGGCTGGCTGCTCCCGGAAGCAGTCTGAGACTCAGACAGGCTAGCACAGTGTCTGGGCCCTCGAGTTGATGGGTCAGGCGTTTTGCAGACTGTCCCTTGGCTGGGACTTGTCTGCTGTTTCCCTCACCATGAGCCAGGGTCTTGGAGTTTCAGTGATCAGTGTCACGCTGGTCACAGCACATCACGGCTGTCACTGTGGTGCTGGCTAGTGCTTATGACAATGCATTCCCAAGGACACGCGGTATCTCAGTCCTCCATCCTAGAAGTAGCAGGGGTGACTCGCCATTAGTGAGTCTTGATATTCATGCATTTGCCGTGGTTGAGAAAGTGCCCCTCAATGCAGGACCCATTCCAGACCCTTCTCTGTCTCATGGGTCAGGTCTCTGCTGTCTCACTGACAGACAGCTCAGGTGCCCATGCTTCCCTGGGCCGTTCACTGCCCCTGAGGAGATGCTGAGGAGGTGGGGAGCCTGCGAATGCAGAGGGTCAGCGTGCCCGGGCAGCCCACGGTGGACTCTCAGCTGCTTTGCTGCCCCCTTGGCTGGACAGTGGCACCTGCCCGTTGTCAAGGAGCCTGCGAATGCAGAGGGTCAGCGTGCCCGGGCAGCCCACGGTGGACTCTCAGCTGCTTTGCTGCCCCCTTGGCTGGACAGTGGCACCTACCTGTTGTCGAGGGGCAGCCTGCAGGTTGGGAAGGCCCTGCAGAACCGGGTGATGAGCTCTGCTTCAGGGCTCTCCTGTCCTGTGCCTTCACAGCCTCTGAGTCGCCTGTCAGAGGTCTCCCATGTCCACCCTGAAGTGGCGTCTTTGAGGCCACCGCTGAGAACCGTCCGACTCTCGCTCACTGCTCCTCTGTGGCGTTCTCTGTGGTGTTTGGCATTGCTGTGCAGCAGCACGAGGGGCAGAGAATGCTCGTCACCTGGGGCCGCAGTGAGGTTCGGCTTGTCTCCCCCTGGGCCACATGCAGGGCAGGCCGAGTGCTTCCTTAGACACGTCCAGGGTAACTCCAAGAGGACAGTTGAACTACCAGAGCTAACGTGATATTGAAATCAACAGCCACTGAGAGATGGCATTCAAACCCGTGACCAGGCCGGTGGTGGCGTGGTGGTTAAGGCACTAGACTCCCACATGACTGACTGTGGTTCGAGTCCTGGACCTGGCAGCTTTCTCCTGCTCTCTGGTCAAATTGAAGAAGAATAATAAATAAAATTAAATAAATAATTCTTAAAAAAAAGAAACTAGGGCCGGCACATAGTGTTTGGGTTAAAGACGCTGGACTGCCACATAGCTGACCGTGGTTCAAGTTCCAGACCTGGTGGCTTGCTTTCTTGCTTTATTTCTCTCTCTCTTTTTGATCAAACTGGAAAATAATAATTTTAAAAATTAGATTAAAAAAAAAACAAGCAAGCAAATGACCTACTTCATCATGAGAAACTGGAAACCCAGCAGCCCCATGACAGCGGTGAGAGTTCAGGTCAACAGCTGCGGTCACTGTTGCTGTTTCACACCAGCAAGACGTGGACTGCGCGCGTGGCTGGGATGGCGCAGAGCAGACTCAGGAGCTGTGAGACAGCCCATCCTGCCCTGTGCGCTGGAGCCCAGGCGCCTGTGCAGCGAGGCCGAGATGCAGCTGAAGTGGGCTGCCCCAGCATGGATGCCCCAGGCTGTCCCCGGAAGCCCCAACTGTCTTCCAACCCCGGGTCCTCAGATTCTCTCAGATGCCCTGTCTTCCTTACGGTCAAACCTCCCCTCTATCCCTGCAACAACAAGACGTTCCAGGCACTTGACCCTCCAGATGCAGGATGGCTCTTCCCAGCAGTGCTGCTCCCATGGGGCTCTGGAGCTTGGTGACATCCATCCCCTTACCCTTCTGCAGCATGTGGCTCGCATGTGGGTCATGGTCCGGAGGGGCTGGTGGGGGCCCTTTAAATGCACATAGAGATTGGCCTTAATGTGACGGCTTTCACACTCTGGGTACTCCCCACAGTGTATTTCAATGGGCAATGACCCAGTCAAACAGCTTTTTTTTTTCTTTAGGTTTTTATCATAGGGCACATGTGCTCCAAGAGAGATAGAGAAAAGGAAAGTGAGAAATCAATCCCCAGGGGAATGGTGGCCACACTGCAATCCCTTCTCCTCCA